TTGTGCATGGTGTGTGTGGTGAATGCATGTGTGTGTGTGTAGGTGTGTGTGTGGCGGTGGGGGTTGGGGTGGGGGAGACAACAGAAGACAACTTGTGAAAGTGAGTTCTCTCTTTCTACTGTGTGGGTTCCAGGGATCAAACTCAGGTTGTCAGGCTTGGTGGCAAGTGCCTTTTACTTACCATGTCACCATCTCCTAGAATGTTTTTTAAACTTATCACTTTACAGAAATAGCAAAGGGTGAAATATCTCCCTCTCCCCCCACCCCAAGTGCTTTCCTCTCCTGCTCCCAATATTTTGCTGTTTGTATCATGCCAACACTTCTGAGGCCTCCTGAGCCCCCAGGGGGTAAATGCTTGGATCTTCCACTTTCTCTGCTCCCTCCGCAGGCACCATGGCTTAACAAGCCTGGTGTGCTTAGTGACTGCCAGGCTTCCACCCACTTTTGGTCTCCCAAGCTTGTTTTGACATCCTTTGTCCTGTGTTTTCTTCCCTTCTCTCTCTGTTCTTCTGTATTATACTGTTCTTATGCCTGTGCATTTTGAGAGAGTGGAGTAAAATATATGCATTCTGTCTTCCATATTTAACCAGAGTCCCCAGGTGACTCAGGAATAAGTCTTGTTGAGAAGAAAAATGCTTGCATTAAAAGTTCAGAAGAATAGAAAATGTACCTGCTACATTATCTCAGCCATATAAAATAGGACTTTATAATTTACTAAAATACTATCCTCTGGTTCATATTTTTCAGTGTCCATCATTTTATGCAATAGTCATTTATTTTTTAAAATTATCATCATATTTATTATCGTTATCATTATTTTGTTTTGTTTTGAAATAGGGTCCCATTGTGCTGCCCAGGCTGGCCTGGAACTCCCTACATAAACCAGACTAGTCTTGAACTGGTCATGATTGTCCTGCCTCTGCCTTCTGAGTACTGGGATTACAGATATGCACTACCACTTCCAGTTTATATATATATATATATTTTTTTTTTTCTGTCTTTTTGAGACAGGGTCTCTCTGTAGCCCCAGCTGTCCTGGAACTCACTATGTAGACCAGGCTGGTCTTGAGCTCACAGAGATCCACCTGCCTCTGCCTCCCAAGTACTGGGACTACAGGCGTGCGCCACCATGCCCAGCTCAGTTTACATTAAAAAAATTTTTTTTATTTATTATTTTTATCTTATGAGTACGAGTATATTGCTTGCATGTATGTGAGTGCACCAGTGTTGTGCAATGCTGCGGAGGTCAGAAGAAAGAAGAGGGTGTTGGATCCCCTGGAGCTGGAATTATTGATGGTGGTTACTGCAATGTGGGTGTTAGGAATTGAACTTGGGTCCTCTGCAAGAGCAGTCAGTGTTCTTAACAGCTAAGCCATCTCTCCAGCCCCCCCCCAGTTTACATTTTTAAAAGCATTTTATCAACATAATAAACATTTATACAACATAATAAACATTCTAGTGGACTATTAGTTTTTTTAAAACATTTTATCAACATAATAAATATACAACACAATAAACATGCCGGTGGACTATAACATAGTTATTTTTAAATGAGTGCTTGTGTTAGTCAATCTAGTCATGATAACTAAATGTCACAGACTCAGTGGCTTGAAATTTCTTTTCTCAAAGTTCTGGAGGCTGAATGCCTGAGGACATGGCCCTTTAGGGGAACTGGGAAAGGTCCCCTTCTTGGCTGTCCTCTCCTGCATCCTCACAGGCCATAAAGAGAAATATGATTCTCCTTCCTCATAGAGAACATAACTAGTAGATAAGGGGGTTACCCTGGTGACCTCACTTATCCTCAATCACCTCCTTAAAGGCCCTGTATCTAACACAGTGATGTGAGGGATTAGCATTTCAATGTATGAACCCTGTGACAGCTGTTCATGCCACAAAATAGAATTTTGGGGGGTTGGAGAGATGTCTCAGCTGCTAAGAGCACTGGCTATTCTTGCAGATGACAGGTTTGGTTCCCAGCACCCACATGGCTGCTCACAACTGCCTATAATTCCAGTTCCAGGAGTGCAACACCCTTTCTGGCTTCGGAGGGCATTTCACACACAGGTGCACTTACATACATGCAGGCAAAACACTCATACATGTAAAATAAATATAAATCAATCATCAGTCAATCAATCAATCAATCAATCAATCAATCAATCAATCAATCAATCAATCAATAATTTAAAGCCACAAAATGAAAGCCTTAAGCACTTTGGCACTTTGCAGTGCCTTCCCAACTGCTTTCTTCTGTGTTCTGGGGACTCCTCTTTTCTTAATTTTTTTTTTGGTCTTTTTGAGATAGGGTCTCCCTGTAGCCCCTGCTGTCCTGGAACTCACTATGTAGACCAGGCTGGCCTTGAACTCACAGAGATCCGCCTGCCTATGCCTCCCAAGTGCTGGGATTACAGGCGTGCGCCACCACGCCCGTCTTTTTCCTAATTTTTTGTTGCATGTTTATACCTTATTTTGCTTATATGTTTACCTCCTGTTATGTTATGGCTTGGATACGTCTTCTCAGAATTCATGTTTTGACCAGGTGTGGCAGCATAATCTCAGCACTTGGGAGGCAATGCAGAGGATGAGGCCCATTAAATGTCAGTCTGAGCAAGTTCAAGGCCATCCTGGGATGCATAAGATTCTCAAAAAGATAGAACAGGCCTTGGGATATGACTCAGTTGGTAGAGTGCTTCCCTGGCATGCAGGAGGCCTCCATGGACACTTCACTCAATGTGCATACACACAGATACATGCACATAATAAAGTAAATCTTAAAGAGTTATCCTCTGAGTAACAGAAATCCTTAATTCTTGTATTCTGAAATGCTTTAGTCCTTTTCTTTTACCACTAGTGTTTCTTCTGTTATATGCAATAAGAATTTCTCTAACCTGAGCTTCTTTGTTTTCCTTCTAAAAGCTTTACACATTTGTGTTTTACAAAGAAAGCTGGGTGTTAGTTACTTCATACAGAATTGACTCTTGCATGTGGTGTGGAGTTAGATGTTCATTATAAGTTATTCCACTGGGTCTCCTAATTCTTCACAACCCTTAACCACAGACTGACCTTTCCCTGATGCTATGTGGAGTCACCTTTATCATAAATTAAATGTCTGTGCATGCACTGGCCTGTTTAGGGTCTGACTGGCCTTACACCAGTAGCTCTGTGTTTCCGTGGCTGGAAGTCTATAGTGAATGTTGACACCCATTGGGTGAGTTCGCCTCTCTTGTTTTCCTTCCTCACAAGTGTCTTGGCTATAATTTACTCTTTCTATTTTCACATAAATTTTAGAGTCAGTTTGTCAAGTAATGTCACAAACGCCTGTTGAGATTCTGATTGGAAATAGCATGATTAGTCATCTCTGCAGTTTCTATAATATTGAGACTTTGAGTCTGAGAACATAACATTATCTCCCCATTTATTGGGGTTTCTTTTGTACTTTCACTCGCAGAGGCCTTACTGATAGTTTCATATTCTTATTCCTAAGAGCTTGATATTTTGAAATGCCAGTGTAAATGGTATTATTATTTTATTTCCAGCTTGCTGCTAGTACATACATATATAATTGATTAATGTCTATTAATTCACACTCATCTATTTTACTATAAAGTCTTCTCAAAAAGACCTCCAAAAAGATTTATTTTATTATTTATTTATGTGTGTGTCTCTCTGTGTGTATGTATGTGCGTGGGGGTGAAGTGCCAGAGGAGCCCAGAAGAGGGCATCAACTTTCCTGGAGTTTGAGATACAGAAGGATGTGAATTGCTGTGTGGGTGCTGGGAACTGAACTTGGGTCCTCTGCAAGAGCAGCAAGCACTCTTAACCACTGAGCCACTCTCTAGCCCCTCTAATTCTAATAGTTTATCTCTAGGTCACATTGGCTATTTTATGAGCTCAACGTGTAAATGACACTATCTTTGGCACTTAACTCTTGCAACTTTTATTTCTCATCTTTCCATACTGGAGTGGTCAGGACCTCCATTATAGAGCTGAACTACTGAAAACATCTATTTTTTTATTCTTCTTATCGCAAAGTGAAAGAGTTCTATGCTGACAATCAAATTTGATGAATGAATGCCTTTTTGGGGGATACTACTTTTTTGAAGAATTGATACTTTTATTAAGTGGGACAATTCCCTTCTATTCCAATTTTTCTAAGAGTTTGAAATCATAAGTGGAAATTGAACTTTGTCAAATGAGTTTTCAGCATCAGTTAAGACTTTTTTCCTTTTAATCTATTAATAGAGATAGAACATCTTTTCTGTTGTGGCATGTTTTATTGTTAGAGTTAGCAAAAATAAATGGTGGGAAAAGAGAAAGCTTTGAGGAGAGCTCATTATTACATCTGAGGGAATGTTGGACTCAGGCTGGGGCTGGGACATCTGCTCCAGCTGTGGGGATTCATCTGTTTCTGGAATGTCCACTCATTCTGCAACTATAGAGTTCTCATCTGCCAACCAGAAGTGTAGAATAACCTTGGGGATATTATGGTCACTTTGAAGCATGTAAACTTCAACAACTTATACAACTTCACTCATGGATTATTTTGTGAACACATCTCAAAATCATTTGTTCTTAGTTCTGTTTCAGTTCACCCAAGCTTTCCAGAGAAGGCATTCCCTAAACAGCATTCTCAGATATATCACGTGTGTGTGTGTGTGTGTGTGTGTGTGTGTGTGTGTGTTGGTGGGAAGCTGAGAGGAATCACCTGCCCAGACCATTGGAATCCAATGAAATCAGACCCTCTGGGCATCAAAGTTTTAAACAATCTCCTTAGGGAATTCCAATGTGTGCTCAAGGTTGAGAGCCATTAATCTATATCTTCTTGAACTTGAAAATCTACAGAAACCTACAGAAGGAACCTGATCATTGCAAAGTCAAACTGACAGCAGAACTCAGACTTGTACAAATGAGAGCTGGCAGGATAAATGAAAGAAAAAGGCCATTGAGACGAAGAAGAGGACGAAGGGAGGAGGCACAAGAACAGCAGCGAATCTACTCACTCAATTTTCTCAGGGAGATCTGCTTGGGTCATGCACACACAGTTGACCAAAATAGTGACGGTGATAAATATAGAGAACCAGCTGAGAGGTCCATGTTAAGGAGAAGTCAAGAGTCGCCATCTGCCCTTGATGTCATCAGGCCACCTTGATGCTGAATGCGAAGTTCATAACTCAGATATCAGCTTTGTGGGCTCATTGTGCAGTTGCTGCTCACATCCATTGAGTGCCTAGCTTGGGCTGAGAACTCTGCCGTCACTGTCGTCATCATCATCATCATCATCATCATCATCATCATCATCATCTTTATTATTACTGGTGGTGAGTCAAATCCCCAAGCCCTGTCCGTATTATTTTTAATGCCACTAACCCACAAGTAGCTTTTAGCATCTACTTTAGGATCTGATCAAGCATCATGGCAAAGCTTAAGTAGCTTTTACGAATCATGCAGTCTGTTACCCACGGTGCTGAGACTGTGAACTTAGATCTATCTAACAACAGGCCCTAGGGCAAGAAGGAAGGTAGTGGGCTCCCTTTCTCAAAATGTCTTTCTGGCTGGAAGCTTTCAATTCACTATACAAGGGGACCTGAAATTCTACCAAACAAAAATTTTCTTGAATTCAGAAAGATACAGAAAAGTTAGAGTTAGAGATAAGTGGAGGGTACAACTTTTTGTGGAAATGAATGTAGATAGATTGCTTTCTTAAGCTGAACACAATCACGCTGAGGCAGTGGATTCTGGGTTAGGGTGGTGGAGAAAGGCACAAGGAGTGAATCACTGGTGCTGGAAGGAAGTTCTGAGGAGAATGGGGAATGAATAGTCAGAGAGAGACTCTGAGGACTGAAGATTTGGCCAAGGGATATTCAAAAGGGGAAGGAGACTTTGAAGGGAAGGTGAGTGGCTCTTAAATGTAGCTCTTAAAGAACTATATGGCTAAAATATGTTTAATATCTTGAATACCAATGGCACTAATATATGTAATTTTTGGTTCTTTTGCAGGGTCTCACTATGTAGCCATTGCTGGCCTTGAGCTCACACAGTGTAGACCAGGCTGGCCTCAGTCTTACAGAAATCCACCTATCTCTACCTCCTAAGTGCTGCTATTAAAGGTGTCCATCACCATGCCTCCAGTAGAATGATTTGATAGTTTTAAACAAAAGAAAATAAGAGGAAATTTCAGACTACAAAGCCCTCCCCCAAACCAATTCCTTTTTAAAAAAATCACTTTTTTTTGTCAGGCTTGGTGGCACACTCCTTTAATCCCAGCACTCGGGAGGCAGAGACAGGCGGATCTCTGTGAGTTCAAGGCCAGCCTGGTCTACATAGCGAGTTCCAGGACAGCTGGGGCTACAGGGAGACCGTGTCTCAAAAAAGACCAAAAAAAAAAAAAAAAAACACTTTTTCTAAGTGGGTCAATGTGACAAACAAATTCAGTGACTAGTTGTGTTTAATTCCTATTTCACTAATGGTCAAAGAATTAGAAAGAAAAGTCCAACTTTCACAATCACTGCCTCACAGGAATAATGCATGTTGGATGTGTATGGAATGCAGAAGTGGTTCTTGTTACTTCAATACCAAGAAAGTTAAAATCACATGTATTTCAAAAACCTGCCCAAGTAGAGATGACCCTGTGAGTGAATAGTTACCTTAATATGTTTCCACTCATTGTCTGCTTTCTTACTGAAGATGCTGCCCTAAGGAGATGAAAACTTGACCTCTTCATTAGCTGTGTGACCTTGGGCCATTAATAAAATGCCTTTGAGTCCTAGTTTCATAATCTGTAAAATGGGGAGGCTAATCCTGCTTTGCAGGTCCTGTACCTATGGTGGTGTTTGCAGGCTCCTGTACCTATGATGGTGTTGACACATAGGAAGGAGTTAGCCAATCAGGAGCTGGCTATTATCATTAGGTATTTTTCTGAAGAATCTAGAAATCCAAGATTCAATTCAGAAAATAGAATTCATGCTGGTTGGCCATAAAGATATCCACGGAAAGGGGAAAATGAGTTGTACCTCACTGAGCAGTGTAATTTCACATTGAGTTGCAGGTGACCCTGTGCCAGGCTTCCTAGCTCAGGGATACTGTCCAGCAATCTCCCAAGCTGTCCACAGTGGTGGGGGTTGGGGCTAGGAGAGGAAGACCCTCTCTGTACTAACCTACATGTAGATACAGAGGTTGGCTGCCATCTGTCAGGCAACAGAGCAAGGCTGTTCAGAATACGCACTTCCTGGAAGCCAGAGCTGAGTTTGTCATTAAGAATTTCCAATTTAGACAGTCACCAAAGAAGATCCTTGGAAGGCAAGCAAAAGTCTCTTTTGCTACTAATTTGGCTTGGCTTGAATAAAAACACAAATAAAACCCAAAGTGAAGGTACTTTCTGGTGCTGCTAAAGCAGCCAAGGTAATACAGACACAGGACTAATGTGTCTCTAATTATGTTTCCCTTGGCAGGGACCTTAGAGTAACAGTGTCTTTAACTGCTGGTGGTTTGGGGGTAACTTGTGACACTGACAGTGCCCCATGGTCAATGAGATCCCCTGGAAGATGGTATGTCCTCTGCCTTTCATGGAATGTCCTCTTTGTCTTCTGGGTGGCATTGCTCTTTTGTCTAATAAACAACCATTTCTAACATGGCCAAAGGAAAAGGAAACATAGCCCATGCCTAGTGCATTGTCAAAAGGAGCCTTCGGTTCCTCTTACTGTTTGTTATGTCAATGTATATGCCGGCAGTATACATTGGTAAGGATATACCTGGATCATCCCATAAAGAGGACATCTTTTGGAAGGAGAGGGACCATGAATACAGTGTCACATAGTCCAGGCTGGCCTCAAAATAACTACATAGCTGAGGGTGACCTTGAATTATTGATCTTCTTTTATCCACTTCCCAAGTGCCAAGATTACAGATATGTAAGACCATGCCTGGTTTATATGGTGTTGGATATGGAACCCAGGACTTCATGCATGCTAGAAAGCACCCTAACAACTAAGCTCCATCTCTAGCAAGAGGATATTTTTCAAGTTGTGTTTCCATAGTTATATCCAGGCTAGTCTTCAGTGAACCTGAGTTACCTGTGGCTTATGTAAACATTTCCTCTGTCTTGAGGCTCCTTGGGGTTACTGAGCACATTTTAACCACAAATGGACTAGAGAGCTAACTCAGTGGTTAAAAGAACTTACTACTCTATCAAAGGACTGGAGTTCAGATCCTAGTAGCCACATTGGACAGTTCCTAACTACCTGTAACTTCAGCTCCAAGGGATTCCAAGCCCACATCTGGCCTCTATAGACACCGCATGCATGTACACAAACCCATACAATAATGCATATAAAATAAATCTTTAAAAACAACAACCCATAAATAATGTTTTCAATACAGTGACCTCACTGCCTTAGGATTCAATTGGGCGACAGCTCCACTGCTAACCTTGAAAGGTACTGGACATCATGAACAGAGCCTGATTCTAAATCATTGAAGGAGAAACCAAGCAAAGGATACGAGTGGACAGACACTTTGATGGCCGTTCTTCTGACCAAGTTGAAGGGACTAAATAGCCATAGAGCCCGAGTGGCACTGAACCTGGAAATGGTCCTCCCTTTATTCAGCACCATGAATGTCTAGAATAAAACAAAGCAGAAGTGGATCTCCAGTGAGAAACAAGAATCCTGCGTGGCCTCATCACAGGCTCATGAGCAAGAGGTGCCCAGGGAACCACAATTCATTGATGATCAAGTGGAGGTGCAGAAAGCTAGAGAGGGTCAGGGAGCAAAAGCCATATCTAAATACTCCCAGAAAGAACTTGGTCTCCACAGTTGACTGCATCAAAGCCAACTTACAGGGGATTGGGAGATAGCTCAGCAGTTAAGACCACTGGCTGCTCTTGCAGAGGACCCAGGTTCGAATGTCAGCACCCACATGGTGGCTAACAACCATCCATAACTCCAGTTCCAGGGGATCCAACACCCTCTTCTGTCCTCTGAGGGTACTACATGACATGGGTGCACTTATACACAAGCAGGCATAACACTCAAATAAAAATGAAAATTTTTTTTAATTAAAAAAATACAACCAACTCCCACAAATTATTGAGAACTCTAAAGAGTTTGCTTATACCATGTGTGTATACATATGTTTTTATGCATGTATATAACAGAAACTTATACATGTATCTATCCATCTATTATCTATTGATTATTTATCATCTATCTATCATCTATTTATCTCTGTCTATCTGTAGATATGATCTGGATCTTAGATAGTTCTTAAAGGGTGTGTGTTAAAGGTTTGGTTGCCAGTGTGTGGTGCTACTGGAAGGTGATCAGACCTAAAAGACAAGGAGCGAAGAGAAATAAAGTTAGGTCACTGGAGGTGTGCCCTTAAGAGGATACTGTGACCTCAGACTCTTCCTCTTTCTCTTTGTGCTTCCTGGTGACCATAAGGTGAACACTTTTCCTCTGCATGTACTTGGTTCATGATAAACTGTCTTACCACACACCCAAAGTGACAAGGTTAAGCAATCATGGAGGATGGAAACCTCTGAAACCATGAGCCAAAATAAATCCTCCCTTTAAGATGATTTTCTATGAAATTTTGTCACAGCTAAAGAAAACTAGAACATAAATATGTATATGTAGATATACAAAATGATATATATAATGTTTGTGTGCATATGCATACTGTGATAGTATAACTGTCAACATGATGCAATCTATAAGCACTCAGGAAGGGAGTCTACTTCAGGATACTAAATCAGGTTGGCCCATAGGCATGTCTGAATATCTTGATTACCTTGAGGTTAGAAGACCCAGCCCACGGTGTGTGGCACCATTCCCTAGGCAGGGTACTCTGAACTGTATGGGTCAAAGCCCAATGAGCATGAGCATGCATACATCCATTTGCTCTCTTCCTCTGACTTGAGTGTATTCAGCTCCCTCAAGCGCCTGCTGCCATGACATTCCTACTATTGTGGACTATAGCTTGGAACTGTGAGCCAAATAAACCCTTTTTCTGTTAAGTTGTTTTTGTCAGGGTATTTTATTATAGCAACAGGAAAGGAAACTAGGATGCATGCCATGTTAGAAATTTAAAACTTGGGAAAACTGAAAACCAGGAGCACATAGGCACACCTTCCAGTGGCTGTTGGTGACGACCTCCCTCCCTATGGTTATCACTATATGCTTATAAGAAAACATGACTGAGGAACTGGAGAGGGGTTAAGAGCACTGGTTGCTCTTCCAGAGGACCTGGGTTCAATTCCTAGCACCCACAAAGCAGTTAATAATCATCCATAATGTCAGTAAAGCACTTAATAATCATCCATAATGTCAGTTCTGGGGAATCTGATGCCCTCTTCTGACCTCTGCAGGCATTGCACAACACAGGTGCACTTACATACATGCAGGCAATACACTCATACACATAAAGTAAAAATAAATAAATTTTAAAAAGAAGATATGTATAAGAAAGATGACATCAAAGTATAATTATAAGACAATTTGACCTCTCTAATCCACAAGAGAGTTTGAAAGATTCCAGAGGTTCTAAGATCATACTTGTGAAGACCCCTTGATCAACGCATCCCATCTTTTACTCCCTATGCCTTCTTTCTCCCTGAAAACCTCAAAAGACCCTACTATATATTAGCAAACAGGGCTAGGTCAGGTCTCACCCATGGGAACAGCCAGCTTCCCATGGATGTTCTATCAGTTGTTTGCTTTTGAGGATTTGGGTTTATTAGCTTCTGTCATAAATTTCTTAAAGATTCAAAGAGTGAGTTTGACATGGGTTTTAAGGTTTATTTTTAAGTGTGTGTGTGTGTGTGTGTGTGTGTACACTTGAGTGCAGGTGCGGGCAGTCTCTAGAGGGGTCAGATTCCTTTGAATTAAAGCTACAGACAGTTGTGAGCCTCTGGATGTGGGTGCTGGGAACTGAACAAGGGTTCTCTGCAAGAGCACCATCTCTCCAGTCCCTCTACATGTTTTCTATCTGCCTAGTCTTTAGTAAACTGCCACTTCAACCAGGGGTTTGGACTCCCTGGGCTGGCTGGGACCAAGACTTCCTCTCCAAGAGCTGAGAGCAGATGCTCTTGGACGTAGCTCTTACCCGGCATGTGCTGTAGAATGGGTCCAGGTCCTCCAAGGGCTCCCCGACCAGTTCTGCTGGGAGCTCACCATAGAACCTTGGCAGCTGGTTACAGGCTTTCAAGTCCAGCTGGGGCCGCGGCTTCTCATCCTGGCCTTTGTGCTCTCTGCGCTTTTTTTTCACTTTTTTGGCTGCCCGATGGGCCGCGATTTGCTTCTCAATCTCTGCCAACGACTCTGGAGTGAACCGACGGAAGTTGGTAGTTTTTACGGACCCAAAGGGGAACTCCATCTTTTCATTCTTCATCCGGAAGAATTCGCACTCTTATGAGAGTAAACATAACCACAGAGGTGACTGCTTGCCCACCTGATCTCTCTCCCATCCATCACCTCCCTTTGATTGCTAGAACAGCCCCCAACGCTTGTCTCCAGCTCCTCACCTGACTCAGGGGGCTCCCCGGGAACCTATACCCCCCTGAAGGACTCTCAGGGGAGGCTGTTTATATCGAGGTACCATCGGTATGTCTTGGTCCTGCATATATGAAGCCATTGCTTCTTCACCACTTTGTAACAATCCTCTCCTGTACCCACCACTTTATCTATTTTTCCCCCTTTCATCATTTCTAAGTCACTGGGTTACAGTCTCTCTTCTACACTGAAAGAAGACTCTGGCTCTCGAGCTCCATCTTAAGTCTCATCCTACTTTCTGACAACTTTCATTTGTTGACATTTTTCAATGTTTCCCCCTTTCTTTGAATTTCCTTTGGGTCTCTTTTGTCCATGGCAGAACATTTTCCTCCATAACCAGATTAGATTAGGTTTCCTCATTCAAATCCCAAACCTAGGCCAATCTGGAGCAGTTGAATTCAATTTTCTTTGAACCTTGATTGCTCAAGGTTGAACCTGGCAATGGGTATATCAACACACCCTGGTAGTCAGGTGGATTCTCTAGTAATCAGTTTCTTTTACTCTGAGATATTGTTCTTTCCTGACTATTCCCTGTCTCTTCTTGGAGTAATCTGATGATCACATTTTCTAGTTCATGAAGAAAGTCAGAACTCCTCTAATTTCATGTTACCAAACCTCTGACTTACCTGTATCCTCGCCCTCCTTTCCTTGTGTCATATCAGGGGCCGTGCTCCCCTTATCCCAGCCAGGATAGACCCTTGCTTCCCCCTTAGGATCTTATCTCGTCCCTCTCATGTGTCTCTTACTTTCTTTTCTTGGCTTTTTCCTATCAGTAGTAGAGATGCTTAACTCTTTTTCAACTTTAAAAATATTTGCTTGGGGCTGAGAAGATGGGAAAAGGCACTTGCTACATAACCTGGTGTTCTGAGTTTGATGCCTGGAACCCACGTAAATGTGGAAGGAGAGCACAAACTGTACAACGTTGTCCTCTGACTTCTACCTGTGCACCATGGCATGGTAGTTCACATACAAATATCATGTACACACATGATAATAATAAATAAAAGTTTAAAAATATTTGCTTGATGTACAGCCCACACAGAACTTCCCTTCTCTTGTCTCCTTGTTGTCTGCTGGGTTTCAAAAAGACTTGTTCTGGGGCCGAAGAGATGGCTCAGCGGTTAAGAGCACTGACTGCTCTTGCAGAGGACCCCGATTTGATTCCCAGCACCCACATGGTGGCTACTAACTTTCCTTAACTCTAGTCCCTGGGGGATTCAATGCCCTCTTCTGACCTGAGGCATTTGCATGACACGGGTGCACTCACATGCAAGTAATGCACTCATACACATAAAATAATAATAATAAATAAAATATTTTTTAAAAGAGTTGTTCCTCCTTGCTGTCTCCAGTCACTGACATCCTTAGAGCTTGGCTTCTGCCTGCCCTTCTCTAAAATGCATCCTTGCAAGGACACTAGAGACCTTTGGTGGCTAATTCAGAGGACACTTCTCAGTTCTTTTCTTGATGGTCATATTGGCTGTTTTGATCACGTCTTCCTTGAAATTCTCTCACCCCGGTTGCTGTGACATCTCAAGTTTTCTCACTTGATGTCTGCCCTTTCTTAATCTCTTCCTCTCTAGCCTTTCCTGCACATGATAGCATTCTTGGGGCCCTATGCTACACCATGATTGTTTTTCTTTAAACTAGTAACATCAGCATCACTGATAATGGCTAGCATTTATCAAGATCCCATTATGTGCCAGAGTGTGGGTTAAGCAATTTGCACACATTATCACATAACCATCGCTGGACCCTGTGAGGGATTAGCTTCAGTATATAAATGAAAAACAGAAGGCAATGTCAGATTTTTCAAGATGGCATTGCTAATAGGCAGTGGAACAGATATTTAAACTCCAACACAATCTCTTGGGAGCAACTCATTCATTCCCCACAGTCAATTCTCATTTTTATGCAGCAGATTCCTTGAGTATTTGTCTCCAGTTCTCATGGTCACAGGGCTGATGACTTCATTTAGCATCTCTACTTGAGTGTCTCATGAGCACCTTAAACTCAACCTGCCTCAGACTGAACCCATGATCATTTCACCAGTCTTTCTAATGCTTGCCTGTCTCCTATTACTCTCTTCCTCCATGACTGGCCCCAAATAGCCTCATCCTGTATCTCTCCACACACCGGGTGTCAGCATTCTGCCTTTTCTATTTCATTCCCATCTGCGATCGTGAGTCAGTGAAGTCCACTGCTTTTTTTCTCTCTCTTTTCCCATTTTCATATGTGTGCATATATGTATACGTGTTTTTGCATGTGTGGGAGCATCTTTGTGGGTGTGCACTCGCACATGTGTGGGTATGTTTTGGAGGCCTGGGACTGATGATGGGAATCATCAGCAATGGCTCTTCCACCTTATTGATTGAGGCAGAGCCTCTCAATGAAACCCAGAGCTCACAGCTATGGTGAGCCTCGTCGGCCAGCTTGCTCTGGGGATCCCCTGTCTCTGCTTTCTGAGGCTGGAATCATGAGCAGGCTGCCACACCTGCCTGGCATTTACATGGGTTTCTAGAAAGCCAAATTCTAGTCTTCATGCATATGTGGTAAGCACTTTAACTGCTGAGCTATGTCCCCAGCCCTGGTTGCTTTTTTCTAGTACCTTCTCTCTATGTCTCTCTACCAATACACAGTCCAGCCACTGTCATCTCACCGTGCACGTAAATTTCTTTTTGCTTCTCTTTCAGTCCTTTCTAATCCATTCTTCCCCATTTCTGAAGTGCAAATATGATTATATCATATCTTTGTTTTAAATCCTTCTGAATCTTCTCGAGGCACTGGAGATAACCCAAGCTGAGTGCCTACCTTCCGGCATTCAGTCACCAGCCATATCCCTCAGTAGCTTCTCCTTGAGTTTGACTCATTATTTTTCAAGTCTATCCATATCACCTTGCCTTTGCTTGAAATTATCCTGCACCCTTGCTTTTCATGGATAACCTTCTTCCAGCCTTGAACTCTGCACTTTGAAACAATTTCCTCTTCCCTTTTTGAAGTCTGAGTTCCGATTCCTATTTATGCTTCCATCGCTGCCTGCATTTCTCAATAACCTTCTGGTTTGTGGTTTGTACTTCCTTTACAATTTCTCCTATTAAACTGTCAGCACACAGAGGACTGGAAATGCATCTGTTTTGTTTGGCAGTTGGTACCCTAAAGTGCTTGGCATTTAGAATCTATCATTATCAATAGATATCTGTTGAACAAATGGCAGGAACTATAAAAACCAGAGATCATTTGGCTTAGAAAAGTGAGGCCAAAAACCATAGATACAATCATGGGAATACACAGAACCAAAGAAATGATCAAATTAAGAGACTTAAGAACTTTAATTGGCATGCCCCCCAAAGTCAGGCAGACAGTTGCAGCAGAGAGAGCACATGAAGGCAGACCTCCTCTAGCAAGGCTCTGCTTTCTTCTACCAGGCCTGGAGGCAGCTCTTGAGTTCAGTTTCTCTGTGATGGGGACCCTGCTTGCTGGAACTGCCTGGAGGCAGCTCTTGTACCCGGTACTCACACATGAGAGACCCTGCTTGTTGCTGCCAGTTCTCCAAGGTGCTGCAGTCCTGGGAGGAGACTCCCCTATATTCTCTGTCATGGTTAGCTTTACCTGTCAGCTTGACATAGTCCAGTCATCTGATAAAAGAGCCTTAACTGAGGAATTGTCTAGATCAGATTGGCCTGTGGGTATGTCTGTGGGGGGTTGTCTTGGTTGTTAATTGATGTAGAGGGTTGTTAATTGATGTGGGCCGCACCATTCCCTGGGCAGGTGTACCTGAAATGTATAAGAAAGCATGCTGAGTATAAGCGGGCCTGTAAGCCAGCTAGCAAGCAGCACCCTCCATGGTTTCTGCTACACGTTGTAAGATATGTTCCTTGGTCAGAGGTAATTGCTGTGTAGAATAGCAAACAGGTTTTCCTTCAGGTTCCTGTCTTGAGTTCCTGCCTTGACTTCTCTCAGTTATGGATTGTGAGCTGGAATTGTAAGTCAAATACAACCTTTCCTTCCCAAAGTTGATTTTGGTCAGGGTATTTAATCACAGCAATGGAAAGAAAACTAGAACACTACTTCCTTTAGGAATTTTTTTGTCTTTTTGAAACAGGGCCTCCCTGTAACTCTACCTGGCCTGGAACTTGCTATGTAGATCAGGCTAGCCTTGATCTCACAGATATCCATCTACCTCAGCCCCCTCGAGTACTGGGATTAAAGGTATACACCACCACATCCAGCTATAAGGTTTATTTTTTAATTACGTGTGTCTGTGTGTGGGTATGTGCACCACATACATGCAGGTGCCTATGGAGGCTAGAAGAGGGCACCAGATCCCCCTGGAGCTGGAGTTACAGGGTGTTGGGTTCTGGGAGCAATATGTGCTCTTAAACTTTGAGCTATCTCTCCATCCCCCCTCAGGGAATTTTTTAAAGTCAACCTACATTATGCAGTTGAGTATTTGTACTGTATTTCTGTCCCTTCTAGATGTTTTATGGGCTTTTCTGTGTCCTAATTAACATAGAGTGTTCATTCAGAGGTCTTTTGAACACTGTTAACTTACCTGAATCCAATCACCATTATTAATTCTTCTCTTGTGAGTAACAAGAGCTACATTTCCTCATCTCAATGAGAAGGAATTTACACAGAGGAACAACATTTGAGCAGTAGGACTTGGTTATAGAGGGGCAATGCAGGGTTCCCTCAGTGGCATGGGAATGCAGTGGACAGAACTGAAGACAGGACTAAGCCAGACATCCAGGTGTTAGAGTAGGGGCTTCAGATCAAAGCAGACTTAGCCATGAGGTTGACTTAATGCCAATTTCCATAATTCTG